AAGTAACGCTAAATATAACATAAAACTAACAAAACTTTAATTTTATTTTAACATAAATTTAAATAAACCTTATCTAATTCATTTAAAATAATACTAACTTAACTTTGACTTAACTTTAACTTTACTTCAACTTAACTTTAACTTTACTTCAACTTAACTTTAACTTATCTTTAATTTGACTTTTACTTAACTTTATACTAATTTATTATATAACTTCGTTTTTATTTGGACTTAACTTGAGTTTATCTTTAAATAAACATTAATTTAGTTTTATAAAACTTCAACTCATTAATTTATCTTAACATTGAATTAACTTTAACATAACATAGTTAAACCTTACCTAATTAATTTAACATAAAACATACTTCACTTTTACTTAATTTTTACATAAATTTAACTAAACCTTATCTAATTAATCTATATATATAAAAATGAATTTCTGTCTGTCTGTCTGTCTGTCTGACCCTTATAGACTCGGAAACTACTGAACCGATTGGCGTGAAAATTTGTATACAGGGGTTTTTGGGGCCGTGGAAGGTTCTTATGATGGTTCGAGACCCCTCCCTCTTCAGTAAGGGGGGGCTCCCATACAAATGAAACAGAAATTTCTGCATAACTCGAGAACTAATCAAGCAAATGGAACCAAATTAGGCATGTGGGGGCGAGTGTGGGGGTATAAGGAGATAATCATAGGGGGTAGCCCCTTAGATAATAGGGCGGGGGGGGGGGCTACGTACAATATAGCATGCTTTTTTTTAAATCGGCGCATAAACTCAAGCTAATATTGAATCCCGAGCAAGACCGGGCACACTCAGCTAGTTTAATATAAATCTAACTTAACGTCAACTTAACTTTAACATGGCTTTAGCTTAACTTTAACATGGCTTTAAGTTAACTTTAACATATCCTTAACTTAACTTAAACTAATTAATTAAATTGACTCTAAGTCAAAGACACATAAGCATTAACAAACTTCCACTTAACTTTAACCTAACTTTAAAATAACTTAGTTTTAACATATCTTTAACTTAGCTTTATCCTAACCTTTACTAAATAATATATTAACTTTAACTTAACTTTATCTTTATTGAAACTCAACTTGATTTTATCTTTTAAAAAACTTTAACTAACTAATTTTAATTTTAATTTAACTTTACTTTAACTTTACACCAACATGAATTTAACTTTCGGGATCTGGCTTCGGATTCGCTAACGGGATACGGATTCGAATCCTTTATCGGGATCCAGATTCGAATTCTTGATCAGGATTTGGTTTCGGATTGTTCATGAATTAAAAAATAGCAAACTGTTACAAAAATATTAAAACACACACACACGCATACGCCTATACACAGTACGTACAGAATAATCTCGTCGGAAGCAGTAGGCATTATCGCCGGAATGATCCCTATCGGCATCAACTTCTTGGAAGTTATTTTTAAGATAAAATGAAGTCAAAGTTAAGCTACATTTATTTTCATATTAAGTTAATGTTTAGTTTATGTTAAATTAAAATTAAGTTATTGAAAGAACTCTGAACTTCTTGACAGAGTTCCAAGACGTTCCCAAGAACTATCGGTATTATCATCGGGATCTGGCTTTGAATTCGTAATCGGAACCCTGGATCCTACCCCTTTGGATAGGTTTTGGATTCCCTATCTCAATAATTTCCAAGAACCTCGATTCCCTATCGCAATCCGGCTACGCAATCCCCATCGGGATCCGTCTACGAAATCCCCATCGGGATCCATCTACGGAATCCCCATTGGGACTGCTTACATGCTGGATGCTAATCAATAAAAATATCCTCTATATAAATAATAAAAATACATAATTCAACATTGTAGCACTGATAGCGGACACACAATCAACTGCTTTCAAGCAAAATTAAACCCATCTGATGTGCTCAACCCAAACGTAAGCAACCTTAACTAATCGATAAACTATCAACAAGCCATCCACTGGCTGCTAGCTAGCAGTTGTTGAGCATCACTGTCTCTGCTGGAGTAAAAGTACACATAAAATTACTGAATTCAAAGCAATCCTCAGCAACAGATACGATTTCCCCCTGATTCCATCCGTCGTTGTTCGGGAGGCTGTTTTCCTTTTCCCTCGCAATGCAACCCTCACTCATCCTTTGGAACATATCCAACGAAGACATGCCGGAACATGCGTGGACATAATTTCATTTCCGACTGAGGCTAGAACATCGATTGCTGCTGCTGCTGTTGCTCTTGATCCTGCCTGCTCGCCGACGCATCTTCCGTAACTAAACCAGCTGCAACGGTTGGTCCATTTCCGGTAGCCAATGCCGTGTCTACCAACAACGCGATCAATGCCAGGGCCGGTAAAATCTGGAACAGATTCATTATCCTTTATTCCGTCGTTGTGGTTGAAACAAAATCATGGCACTTTTTTTCTTCCCTTCTTCAACAGAGGGCAAAATTTTCCGAATCTTTTTTCCCGACTAACCCCCAGCTTTTTCACGATTCCGATCTACTAACTATCACTTGGTAGTACGCTGAACAGATGGCGGTAGTGTGTAAACGTAAAACTCAAGGGAAATGACTATGCGCGCCACAGGTGGCGGTACTACCAACTACGATACTTTTAAATTGACCGTTAAATGCTTGTTCGATGAACAACTTGCGAGTGTTATGTCTGTTTGTCTGTGGTGCTATCTTGATGGTGGTTTCTGTGTTGCAATTATTTGACAACCGTTATAACAACAATCAATACGAAACTAACGATTTTAAATTGGCTCACCACTTTAGAAGCCTATTGGTCCCAAGCAAACGATTAACGTACCCTATTCTAGTTGAAATTCTATTACTACACTATGTTTGTTTTGATTCGCTATGAAAGTTTGACAGATAACATCAGGGGTGTGTGGATTCATGCAGAACATGCAGGGGTGAGTGAAATAGCTTGGGACTGCTTGGGACCGTTGTTCTGGTACTGAGTGAGCCAAAAATAATAATGATTTTCTTCGGGACCCAGTGGTCTTAGAGTTACCTCTATGGTTATAACATGCTTAATTCTCCAGTCTGTACAGCATTTGAGATGAAAATGTTGCAAGAAAAAAAAATCTATTTTAGTGTCCTCTTTCACGGTTCCTTTCCGTATGCAAGGTAATTTTATGGTTTTGCTGCCCCCTTGGCAGAGATGAAATTTTGCGCACTTTTATATCAACACAATCACACCAAAATTAGAGATGTCCGAGGGAGGCGACTCTATCTACGATGCAGGAAATATTGTGTTTTGCTGTCGCTAGCTGCACGTACGCTGAGTAGATAGAAAGAAGATTTATCACGATTTTGAAGACTTCCTGCAAAAAAATGATGCGCGATGCAAGTAGATGCGAGAAATGAAAGAAGATTTTTCGAAGATTTATTCACTAGTGTGAGATTTTTTTAGCATCTAGAATTGAGATGTCCTATTTTTTAATTACTCGAATAACAACTAATCGATTATTTTTTGTTCGCTGTGCTGTCATTTTTCCACCAATGAGAGTCCAGCACATGTTTGAAACGATCGGTGATGATGCTCTGGAGAAGTTAATGCTTATATCGGCATGATCCGATTACAAATATTTTACTTTTCGGTTCGTTAATCGATTAATTGATTATTCGAATGAAAATCGGCCATCACTAGATGGATGTGAAACGTCACTTCAAATATAAGGACCGTACATAAATAATGATACAATTTGAAAGGGACCGGGGCTAATCACAAATTACGTCCCATCGGTAACTGAAATAAACACGACCCTAATAAAAATTGTATGGTTAATTTGCTTAACGACGTGTTCTGGGTATCATCCAAACCATTTGTGGAATAGTTCAATGATTTGGGTTATCGTTCGTTTATGGTTATTTTTTATTAGGGGAGTGTTCACCGGTTGGTAGTACTGACGGCAATTAAAATTATCTATCCGTAATTAATTGTAGTATTGAAAATGTAATTAATGTACTTTAATTACGAAATTTCAACTGTAATTAATGGAGTTAAAAAGTAGTTAATGCTCTACATTGTGTAATTAATGTAATTAAAGCTATAGTTAATGGCATTAATTTAATTACAGCCGTTGTCTGCGTTGGAGTTAAAGGTTATTGCGTGCCTATAGGTTAATGCACTTTCTCTCAGTTTCAGGGCAATACAGCACGCCACCCGTTTCGACCCTGTACTTAGCAAGGTTTACCACTTCGTCCAGCAAGGTTGACCACAGTTAAAAACGGAAATTTCGGACCGTGAGATCCAGCAATTCTTCAACCGAAGTGATTCGCTATCTACGGTTCAAGGGTGCGTGATGTTTGTCGAACGTTTAGTGATTCCGACCGATTTCCGGATGCGTTGCCTACACCATCTCTATCGTGGTCATCCGGGTATCCAGCGATTGCGCGCAGCTTCGTCTACTGGCCGTCTATCGACTCGGATATCGCTGCGCATGTCAAAGCGTGCCGTCACTGTGCAGTTGCAGCCAAGAGTCCGCCCAAAGCACCACCGCTGTCGTGGCCCAAGTCAACGTATCCATGGCAGCGCGTTCACAGCGTCGACTACGCTGGGCCTATCGAAGGAGAGTACTTCCTGCTTAGTGTCGATTCGTACTCGAAATGGGTGGAAATCGTCAGAACCACGTCGATAACAGCCACTGCAACCATCGGAATCCTACGAAGTCTCTTTGTTCGCTTTGGTATGTCAGCAACGCTAGTCAGCGACAACGGTCCGCAGTTCACCAGTGCCGAGTTTTCACAATTCTCGCGTCACTTTTCAAATTTACCAATCTACATTGATTGATTCTCTTCCTCGACTTTCTCTTGCGTTAATAACTTGACTGCATTCATATTTAGGGCTATTTTGTCTACATAGTCTGCTAAAAGAATGTATTATTCATCGTATTGGACGATAAGAACAGCTGAACAAGTTTTTGGAGCCGAGTTATTAACGAAAAAGAGAGTCGATGAAGAGAATCGATCAATGTAGATTGGTCTATTTGAAAGATGACGCGAGAATTCTGCCTCGAGAACGGTATCGATCACGTGACAACTGCGTTGTTCCATCCGCAGTGCAATGGCCAAGCCGAGCGTTTCGTGGACACCTTCAAGCGAGCGGTCAAAAAGATTCGAGAGGGGAGAAGATCAATTCAGGAAGCACTGGACACTTTTCTGTTGTCCTATCAAACCACACCAAACCTGTCAACACCACAAAGCAGATCTCCGTCCGAAGTCATGTTTGGGCGCAGAATTAGGACCAGTCTGGACTTACTCCGTTCACCAGCCGTTCGGGAAACGACTGCTCAACCAGATTCAAGGTCGTTCAGTAAAGGTGATCTAGTATACGCCAAGGTGCACTCTAACAATTCGTGAAGATGGGCATCAGGAGTGATTCTAGAGCGAGTTGGACAGGTGATGTTCAACGTGTGGGTTGAAGACAGTCGCATGATTCGCTCGCACATCAACCAGCTGCGAAGCCGAACGAACGCCAACAGTAAGTCAACGTCTGGCTCGATTCCGTCCAAGACAGACAAGCAACAGTTGGCTCTGGACATCTTACTACGAGCCTGGAACCTGCACAAGCCAACCCAGCCACAACCACCAGGTCCATCAACATCACCGAGACCATCACCGTCACCGGTTGCACAAACGCCATCAACACTCGAAACGTCGGCTGAGCATTCAACACCACAGCAAGTCTTGACATCCACGCCAGCTTCTCCGAGCCTAGTTTGGGTTACTCCGGAATCGACAACTTCGTCGACAACAGACCTTGGTCAGCCGTTGCCTACGACTGTAGTCCCATCGTCCTCTACAACAAGCCCTGTGCCACTTACATTAGCAGAAACCGAAACAGCTTTCCAGGTACCTCGCCGCTCTTCACGTCTACGAAGACCGCCGATTAGGTTCGACCCGTACCAGTTGTATTAAGAGGGGAGATGTTGGGAACATGGACATCCCTAACGATCGCTGCCAACACCAACACTGCTGAGCTCCGTAGATGCGCGAACCAGCATAAGAAAGAAGAACAACACGATATATATGTTCGAGTTCGTCATCTTGCATCGTGTGCGTTTTCCGCAAGTCAATGTAAACTATTAGTTCGTTTGCTAGTTTACGTTCGCGTTCATTTTATTGTACATGATGTACTCGGCCGTTCGTAACATTTATAATTGATGATAAAAACTGATGATGATAATGATGTGGAAATCCATCTATCCTAACCCTTTTGAAATTTTTTTTTTTTTTTTTTCCTTTGGTTTGTTTTTTCCGTCGATCTTGTTTTCCGTGCTGAGCACCAATGCTACCGACGTGCCAGGAAGGCAGCTCCCACACCTGGACCCTACCTATCGACCCATCAACTCATGAACCGGGGACCAACGGCTTTACTTCCCATCCGAAGGAAGGCGTGATCAGAGATGTTATGCCTCAGAACATCCCGGCGGCGCCGACTGGTATTGAACCCAGGCCTGCTGGGGTGAGAGGTAATACCGCTTACCACTACACCACCGGCGCCGTTCTTTTGAAATTTTGAAAATATGAATATTGAATATTATACGTACATTGAATATAGCCACTATACGTGACAATGACGGAAACCAATTGGATCTTTCACATCCGGGAACCAGTCGAGCATGGCTGTTTCTTATTGGATCAATGTGGTAGAAGTTGTGTTCGTGATGGTAATTAAATCTAACTCCCATACCTCGCCGTGCAAAATCCGTATAGATAATCAAATCAAGTCGTAATCAAATTTTTCGATGTCAAAAAGCGCGTGCAATGAAAATCCAAGCCTGAAAAAATAAAAAAAACCACTATCTCTAGGAAATACCTTTATTGTTTGTTTCAATAAATTACTATAATAAATAAAATAAATTAAATAAATATTGACGTTATCATTACTTTTTGAACAGATTTACAAAGTCTTCGTATGGATACGATTTGTAGTTTGAGTCAATAGAATTATACCAGGGCAAAATTGGTTACCACTGCCTATGAAATTATTCGAAATAATCTCGTAAAGTTACTCCAATTGAAACCGTACTTTGGTTTCTTGGTTTCTTTAGTGTCGCTACTTTCCTCATCATTGTTGACATCATTTTCTTCTTCACTTTCATCATAGTCATCTTCATCATTGGTAGGTTCTGCAAGTACATATTAATAGAACAATCAAAAATTACGAACAATTCTTTCAAACATACGTTACTGAATACCTTCGGTAACTCCTTTGGTTTCTTTTGAATCATCGTCATCGTCTTCATCATCTTCTTCATCGTCATCATCATTTTCGGCACTGTCTTCAACTCCGCCAGTTACGATTGACTCTACGATATCTGCAATCTCGTCAGAACTATCCTCGTCTTTATTTTTCGTTTTCGTCACTGTGATATTTGGTTTGATAACATCCGCTAACTCTGCAACGCTTTGCTTTCCTGGATTCAGATGAGCTGCGTTTTTTGTAGCGGGTTGGCTTATGCCTACTTTATTTATGCCCGTTTTTTTCTTTTTCTGACCGGTAGTGCCAAGAAAATCTCCTAGAAAATCTCCTTCCAATAAACTGAATCCGGTATCTCCTGGCTCAGATGATTGTACCTCTGGTTCTTCTAGTTCACTGCCTTCTTCTTCATCATCGTCATCGTCGTCGTCGTCGTCATCTATATATTGTTTATGAAAAGTCTTTAAAATCATCAATCATCTACTTTGGTGTCTTACCATCAGCGATACCCAATGTACCGAGCAGATCATCTGCTTCATCATCGTCATCGTCGTCATCATCATCATCTTCGTCTTCATCAACATCAACATCAGCAATTGGTGGAAGTGGCTCTGGCTCGGTAACAGAAAGACCGCGTGGTCCAAATTTAAAGCAAGAAACTCGCAAAACTGCTTCGATTTCATTATCCGCACGGAGTTCCAGACCAAGACATGCCTTAAAATGGTCATCGGCCCTCCTGTTGATACCATATATACGGCCGCAGAAACGGTTGAACCCTCCTGGTAAAGGTATACACACAGGAGTTGCCTTACGACCTGTAAGAATGTTCATAATGATATCTCACAAACAAAATGTAAGCGTAAAATATTGACCTGAGATAACTCGGCTAGCCAGAACTCGATCGCCAAACTTCACTCCAATAGACATGCGGTTTCCTTCTAAGTACTGCACTGTGGCGCATCCTGGTCCTTTTACAGGTACAAGTGGTAATGCAAAATCACGACAGCAGTTACACTCATAGGTTGTACATTTGCAATAACGGTTTATCGGATTAGCGTCATCGGTGTTAACGACTGGTTTTTCGCTTACAGGTTCCTGTGGAACCTGATTGATTTCCTGCAAAACTTCGTTGTTTTCAGAATTAGTTTCCTCATCTGCATTTCCACTGCTGGCCTCATTGCAGTTAGTTTCGTAGCAATTAACTATTTCACTAGCATTCGACTCATCGACGGCATTGGATTCGGAAATATTACCATCTACTGCATTCTCACTATCGTTGTATTCCTCAACATCCTGCTGCAGGACGATTGGGGCTTTACTAGTTTGTTTTGAGGCTTTAGCTGAAAGATAGATGGTCGAAAGAAGTTCAGTAATTTGAATGTTTAATTGTGGAATTCATTGACATACTTTCCAGAACCCTTCCATGTGAGATTGACACGAAGGCCAACACAACAATTACACTTTTCAGCTTCATTTCTAAAAAAGGCATGAGAAAAACATATTTTAGATTCCTGATAAATGTGGGCGCCTTAGTGGAATACCTATAAAGAGAGAGAGAAAGAGAGAGAGAGAGAGAAAGAGAGAGAGAGAGAGAGAAAGAGAGAGAGAGAGAGAGAGAGAGAGAGAGAGAGAGAGAGAGAGAGAGAGAGAGAGAGAGAGAGAGAGAGAAGGATTAGTAATTTACATTTAATACCGCTACCTTATTCGCTTATCCTTGACAGATACGCGTATTTCGTCTACAAAGTGGAGACTTAGTCAGTCTCTTGTACTAATACTCAACTATTAGTACAAGACACTGAAGAAGTCTGCACATTGTGGACGAAATACGCGTATCTGTCAAGGATAAGCAAATAAGGTAGTGGAATTAAATGGAAATTACTAATCCTTCTCTCTCTCTCTTTATTTTAGATATTTATAAAACTTCCATGCTTCCCCTTTAAAACAAATTTATTCTATGGCTTAAATATAAAGTAACAATCAAATTAAAACTTTTTGTTTTAACTTTATTTAAGAGATTTTTTGCTACGAGCTAGTTTATCTCCGTTAATTTTAACTGTCTATCGTATGCTTGAAGAACAATCATACAAATTGGTTAAACATCGATTAAATCTAAAAGCAAAATTTCAATCTTCTGTCGAAAGTTTCTACCCAAGTGATGACCAGCCCTATTGGAGGGAAATTTTCCTTTCAAGAAGTTGATAACTATATATATAGTCCTGTCCAGGCGGGTTCGTATTGGTGCGATTTGCGTGTGTTAGTGATATGAAGTTTTTGTTAGCTGTGAGAAATTTTTTGTTTTGCTGTGGTGACCAGATTATATTTTTCATTATCGGTAAGTTCTCAAAACTTTTATCGGTAGTTATCGGTAGGCCGTCTTAAGGTTTTCCCGAAACTTGAAACATTTGTGAGCGGAGGGGGGTGAAACCAAATCACTCGCAATTTCGGACTTTCGAAACGATGTTTTTTGAAACGATTTCATACTGGTCCGACATTCTATTAGTTTTAAACACAAGGTAAAAAGAAATAGATTCATCCTACAGCCATCGGTTCAATGATATGAGTAATTCGCACCCCTCCAAAATATGCGAATATTAACAATAACAATAAAGAATAGGGTCTCTATGCACAACTATAGGAACCTAACGCTTCTAACGTACCGCAACTATGAGCGTTTCCCCTAATAAGCGTGAGTAGGACGAACGGAACACGAAATCAAAAAAGGGAGCAACAGAAAATAGCATCGGAATGTTTTAAAGCCTATCGGTATCAAAGGTTTTAAAAAATCGGTATTAATCGGTACTTACTATTTTAATTAATATAAATTTTTTGCCCTTTTTGAAGGCGAAAATTTTTATCTTTTGGACTATGATCGGAAAATTCCGGAAGAAAACTCCGGGGAAGGTTTGAATTAGTTTCTGGAGGAAGCTGAAAACAACATCCAGAGAAAGAAGAAAGAAGCTCTCCTGGAAGAAATTTGAGGAAAGTTCTGAAAAAGTTGGAAATACAACCGCGAATCTACCAAGACATAAATTGATAAACTTCTAGCGAAAATTTAAAGAAAAATTCAGAAAAAAATCGGATTTCACATTCAAAGGAAAGCAGAAAAGTTTCGGAAATCGGAAATAAATTCCAGAAGTAGCCAGAAGGAGCTCAAAAAACCCTTCCAATAGCAGTCAAAAAAAAAAAAAAAAAAACTGGACAAAATTCCAGAATTAGACGAAAGAAATTTCTGGGAGAAGTTTAATTAAACTTCCTGGAGAAGACGGAAGAAACTTCCTGGAGAAGACGGAAGAAACTTCCTGGAGAAGATGGAAGAAACTTCCTAAGGTAGATTGGAAAAAAATTCTGGATAAAGTCGGAGGCCAGAGCGTCGAAAGAAACAAGGACATAATTCCGGAAGAAAGAGCTCTTGTGGGATGTTCTAATGTTCCAGAATTTTTTCCAAATGGTCATAAAACATCCCTGAAGACCTCGCAATGCCCCTGAAGTTCTTGGAACATTCCTGAAATGTACTTAGGAATATTCCATATTTCCTCGGGCTGTTTTGGAGTACTCTTATCATCTTTGAAATACTTGGAACTTCTCTGATTATAATGAGACTACCGGAATATTTCTAATCAACTTTGAAGGTCTCTAGACTTTCTTGAAGATTACGAAATTTCTTAAGCGCTCTTACAATTTTCTTTAATTTATTGTAACATCAGCATTGAAGTTCTCTGATCTTCCCGATTTGTCTAATTTTTAAAAGTTGTCAACACTGCCATTAATAAGCACGGGAATGGCACGGTACTAATGTTCATGTAACTTCTCTTACGTTTCTTAAATTTGCATGAGCCCCTCGGAACATTGCTGAAGTTTCAGCGATTTTCTTGAAATTTATTGATCTATCCTGATGTTCTCTGAGCTTCCTAAAGTTCTCTTAATTCTCCTGAAACTAATGGAACTGTCCTGAAAACTATTAAATTTTCCAGAAGTTCTTTGGACTTAAGTTCACTAGAGTTCGCTGGACCGGGTTTTAAAATTTTAACAGATGGTATTGAAACATTCTTCAATTTATCGAAACTTACTCAAAAGTCTATTCAGAACTTCTTAAAAGTTCCTGCAGCTAGTGTGGATCCGCAATCAATATCTGGAAGCATCCCTGAAGTTCCAGGAAAGTTGAAAAAACTGGCGGGAAAATATGGAAGAATCATTCGAGCGAAAGTTGAAGAAACTTCCAAGGGAAGTTGAAATAATTTTCCGAGAGGAATCGTAAAATAATTTATGATTTAAGGCGGAAGATAATTCAGGAAATTAAATAATGTTTAAAGAGTATTTCCCGATTCACCCAGAATTACCAGAAAGAGCCATCGATTGTTTATCGATTCATGCACGGACAGAAAATTGTTTGCATTGAACCAAAAAAAAATTAGTTGTATTTAAACAAACAATTCCGGTTGAAATTATATTGCATTTTGTTGTTTCAATAATACTTATTCAAATAAATTCAAAATAGGATTCTTTTTGTTTTAATAAGCCACTTTTCAACTGCAACTATTGTAAAAATAACAATATTCTATTATTAAGCCAACAATAGTTAATTTTACTTTAGCATTTATTTGCTGTTTCCATTCCCTGGGCAATGAATGCAAAAATAACTACCAACCATTCCATCGTTTTCACCCGGACTGTAAACAATAACAAAACTTGTTAATTTCGGGAAATAAGTGCAAAATTTCCGAAAATCTTGAGAATTGAGGTAAGTAAGTATGCTGCAGTTCGAGTGCAGTTGCTAAATATAATCAATTTTCTGTTTTTTTCCTTGATTTTTTTTCCGTCGATCTTGTTTTCCGTACTGAGTACCAATGCTCCCGACGCCAGGAAGGCAGCTCCCACACCTGGACCCTACATATCGACCCATCAACTAATGAACCGGGGACCAACGGCTTTACTTCCCTTCCGAAGGATGATCAGTGAAAAATAAAACAAAACATAAAAAATAAATTGGCCATATTATTAAATATTATTCAATAAACATATTTTTATTTCTACTGCGTGAATTGTCAGACTTCATAAAACAAATATGATTGAATCAACAAGAAATCTCTTTTAAAAACAAACATATTTTTGTTCTTTGACTATATGTTTTAGTATTACTTCTACGTGAAGTCAACGATTTACATAGTTGAAGATGCTAATTTCAAATAACAGACTGTAGTGGTAATTTTTATACGAAAGATGGAGTAGATGAAAGCATAGAGTTGATAGTTCCGTTAGAGTACGGCAGTGTGAAGATTGCATATAGACGAGTGCACGGGTGAACTTTTGTTCATCTACTGAAAAAAAAAGTGACACAACAGCGGGGCCCTATTTACTAAAAATGAACACATGGATAATGCTCGCGTAACATTTGAAAAGGGCCTATCAACTTTTGTAAAAAACTTGCTAGGTCCTTTTCACCATAACCGAAGTACGCCCACGCAAACCAAGAGCACTTATCGGGAAGGAGGAAAATTTCCCCTATCCGATGGTGTTGTAAGTTTGCGTGGGTTTATTCGGTTCGCGCGAAGAGGACTTATCAAGTTTTTTGTACAAAAGTTGATAGGCCCGTTTCAAATGTTACGTGAGTATTATTCATGTGTTCATTTTTAGTAAACAGGGCCCCGCTGTTGTGTCACGTTTTGTCGAGTGAGTGAACTCAAATCCATCCGTGCACTCGTCTATAGATATTAGAATAGCGAGCTAGGACAACTTTTAAGGAAGGTACAAATCGGTTTTTTCATCTCTCTTTACCAAACTCCCCCTTTTGGAGAGGGATGGTGAGGGGGTGTCCGGGGGGGGTGGGGGCGCCACCACTGGCAAAAAGAGATGAAAACCGACCGCTCAAGTACCAACTGCGTGTTTGAAACAGTTCTACCGGAAGGCATCCAGTCGTAGGTTTGGAAATTGCAACTATTGTTTACCCCTACCACGATATGTGCTCCTGTCATCGTCGACTTGACGATCTCGAGGGGACACGGGTGGGGTAGGTGCTGCTACTGTACCTTTCGACCATCGACAGTAATTGATGGTATGCTCCCATCCAGAGTTATGTACTTTGACTATATGTTTTAGTATTACTTCTACGTGAAGTCAACGATTTACATAGTTGAAGATGCTAATTTCAAATAACAGACTGTAGTGGTAATTTTTAGAATAGCGAGCTAGGACAACTTTTAAGGAAGGTACAAATCGGTTTTTTTTTTCATTTCTCTTTACCAAACTCCCCCTTTTGGAGAGGGATGGTGAGGGGTGCTAGAACTATTCCACAGCCGCAGTCAGTTTATGAGCAAAAGAGGGACGCACATTTTTTGCCTGTAGACTTGGAGACATACTTCAAGTCTCCGCGTACACCGTACCGGTTAGGCAAAAGATGTGCGTCTATCTTCAAAAAACTGTCGCATTAATGGCCCTTCGCTCATTTTCAACTTCTATTCAATTTTCATACTGCCGTGCTCTAACGGAACTATCCACAACAAAGATCATTCTCTAGCTAATAAATCATCACACTAAAGCTTCATGTTAGCATTTCCAACCAACTCTGAGAATATTGTTATTTTTACAATAGTTGCTTATTAAAACAAAAAGAATCCTATTTTGAATTTATATGAATAAGTATTATTTAAACAACAAAATGCAATATAATTTCAACCGGAATTGTTTGCTTAAATACAATAAAAGTTTTTTTTTGGTTCAATGCAAACAATTTTCTGTCCATGTAGCATAGAGGTACAGGTCTAGCGTCAATGGGTTGCCCACCGGTGAGATAAATGTTGGCTCATCCGAAAACCAAACGGAGTACAGACGACCGTTCTGGTTCTGCTAGTAGTTCCGCCAGGCCTCATGGTGAGCGTTTAGATCTCCTCCAACTACGAAGCGGGAACCGATCCGGGTGATGGTGGACAGGTCCTTCTTGAATTTACCCGCTAGTCCACTGCTGGCGGCATACTTTCGAGGGCAGTAGACGGCGATGAACTGAACGAATCCAGTCGACGACTCCACCTCCACACCAAGGGCCTCGATGATAGAGGTGCGGATATGGGACAGACTGTGGTATTTGATCCCTTTCTTAACGGCGACTGCTGGTAGCTGGTGCGATCAAGCTGAATAATGTTGTGGTCAGGCAACCAGAAGCTGTCGCCGGACTGGATGGGTCTCGGTTAGCAGGCCCACGTCGATGCTGTGCATGCGGAGGAAGTTGGCAAGCTCAATCTGTTTAGCTCTTACAGAGCAAGCATTCCAAGTGATGATAGTTAGCAGTTTAGACGCCATACTAGATGATGAACTTACCGAGGACTTGGATCTGCTCGGGCTTATTGCGGCACTTACGAAGAGCACCGGTCATGTTGACGAAGATTTCCATCAGTTCATCTGCTGAGAACAGATCGGGGTTGTTGTTTAGCGATGGTGGTTGTCTCCAGAATCCAAGGGAGGGGGGGGGGGGTTTGAGATCTTTGTCCAGTAGAATCATTGGAAGCTTCTTGAGGGGGGGTTGCACTCGAGAATTAGCATGCCTTTGCTGGGGAGCTCGAAGAGCCGTCCTGAATGCTAGGGTTTTGTCCTTCTTGCGTCCTGGTTGATTGTTGCTTGCCGCCTGCTTTCGAATGCGTTTGAAGTCCTTGCGTTTGGAGCACTGTCTGGAACCTTGATGGGTACCACCACAGTTGGCGCATTTTATTGCCACGGTTCCATCCGCAGGGCAATAATGTGGCAGAAGTGGCGTGTTCGTGAGCGTAGTTGCTGCAGCGTGGCTTGATGTTGCAATTGCGGGTACCGTGTCCAACATTGAGGCACCGCTGGCACTGCGTTACGTCACGATGGCCGCCACGGTATGGTTCCCACCGTACGATGATGAAGTAGATCAAGCGGATGGCTTGCAGCGCATTGAGCGTCACCGTCCCTTTCTGGAAGTGCACCAGGAATAGACAATCGGGTACGTCTTCCCGTTTTTGTCCCTCCTTGTCATTCGGAAGACAGCGATTGGGGCCAGCTTGTACCGGTCCTTGATTTCGACTACCTGGTGACTACTTGAAGGGCTTTTCACCGGGGATGTCATGCGTGAAGAATTCCACCTTGGAATCCTTCAGGTATTTCACGGCCACATCGTACTCCGCTATCGTACGGAGCATCACCTTGGTGCCAATCCTGCCGAGCTTAAACTCAGCTGTGACGCCCAGCGATGTGAGATCGCCAATCAGCGTGTTGAGTGGCACTTTATACACCACCAGTGAAGGAAGCTTAATTTTTGCTGCACTCGGGCTGGCAGAAGTTTCGTTATCGACGGCGTCATCGAAATCACCAATGATGCTGACGTTCACGCGATGGCATCGTCACGTCCACTCGCACCATCGAACTGGCCCTGATTTTTCTTCCTCTTCTTAGACCACTTCACCGTGGCAGAGGTAGTATTCCGGTGGGAAACCTATTCGAAATAGGCACACTCAAGCTATCCTCACCCCTGTTCTTCTTCTCCGCTTTCTCTCGGAGTCTGCTCCGGGAGCGCTGTCTTCCCATCACACAAAGCGACCGACACTATTGACGACGTGATTAAACCACTCATTAAACTGCGAATGTTTGGAACAACCTAAAAACTTTCGAACAACTCGACAGAGCGTGCAAAACCGAAGTGTACTGCTTGACGTTCAAGCAGAGAATGACGCACTGATGAACAGAAGCACGACAGCACCGCTGTTTTATATCTTTTCAGGTTCAAGCAGAACGATGTGCAACCGCCCCTGACAGGATTTCCCGCCGTTTTTTTATGTATTGTATTTTTTGAGCAGAGTATGTAAAAAAGGATGGACTACGGATGTTAATCTAATTGCATATGTAGATGTACCAGATATGTTTTACAGTCAGTGGTCTGTAAATAACCATGTTTTGCATATAAACCTTCTCCGCGTTTCGTTTTAATTAAACGGGACCCATCCCATCGCTGGTTGTGAAGGTAATCACGTTGTGATCCACCTTTATCCGCTGACTTGCTTCTGCTTGCTGCAGGACCAAGTGCCACGCCGTCCGAAGCAGTAATGAGCAGAGGCAGGACAGCAGCGCTGTTTTATATCTTTTCAGGTTCAAGCAGAACGATGTGCAACCAAGTGATACTCGATTATGACGACTGGGTTTGGAAAAAAAACGTTTATTTCATGAAAACAGAGATAAAATTATCATTTGTACATTTCTCAAATAAAAAAAAAATATTTATTTCAGCAGATTCGTCATATAATATCCAATCGGTTGGCGTATTTGGATTTTATTTTAATCTATAATTGGAAAAGTTACAAGCGTCACAACCTAAAACTACTTCACCACATATTTTTTTATTTGCACCCCAGTGTAATCGACAAAGACGTCGTTCTACGTCAAAAAATTCAATCAAACCAATCTAACGAAGGTGGTAATTCTCTAAGCAGGTCTTATAGAACAAGGAACTTAAATAATAATTTTAAAACAGTTCAAATGAACTAAAGTTGAAAAGACACGTTTGTGTCACTTGAGAATTCAAACATGTAAACCACACAAATTCAAGAAATAAATATCATTTACAGTAAAAATTAAAAAATAACCCATCATCCTTTCCCTGGAAATTGGAGAGGTAAAGAGGTAACATTGGTCTAATGTAAAACAACATGACCTTGAAAGAGCTAGAGTTGCAATTGGGAGTGCTGATAGGCAGGCATGGCAAATCATTTACATTCAAAGTGTTTTTTATATTACTTCATACGCGAAGTTAGCGATTTTCAGAGTTGGTTGGAAATGCTAACATGAAGCTTTAGTGTGATAATTTATTAGCTAGAGAATGATCTTTAGAAGAGGGTAGGTGGATAGTTCCGTTCAATTTTCATACTGCCGTACTCTAACGGAACTATCCACCTACCCTCTTCTAAAGATCATTCTCTAGCTAATAAATTTTCACACTAAAGCTTCATGTTAGCATATCCAACCAACTCTGAAAATCATTTACATTCATTTGAGTCCGCATCGTGCTCTCTTGCCGTGCGGATCTATTTGCTTTTTGCTGAAGGAAGTGTTACTACTACCTAAAGCTACAACAAATTTAAACAGCACTTTTCAGTGCTCAACCTGTAAAATGTCTACCTTGTTCAACTCTTATTCCTCTTCGATCCTTGTTTGGACCCTACCCGAGGTAATCCTTCTTGGATATCGATTTGGAAAATTCCTCTTCGATCCTTCAGATTCTTATTGTAATCTGCTTGGAAGTCGATTTGGATAAAAAATTTGCTACCGTCATGGCGCAAACTCTTGATCCCCCTTCTGATGAAATTAATTCGAGTACTCAATTTGATTTGCTCACGGATGATGAGAATGATCCATCATCCAAGAAAAATTCTAGTAAACTTTCCCGGCTTAATGCCAAGAAGGCAAAGATTCCCCCTATTGTGATAACCATTTCCGATTTCCATGCTCTTCGCATGGATCTTTTGAACTTCGTGAAAGTTAAATTGTCACTACAAATTGGACGTCGGGGTGAATGCCGTGTATTGGCCGAAACCTTGGACGGATTTAAATGTCTTCTCAAGAAACAGCACAAATTTTTTAATTACGACACCAAAACTGAACGTGTGTTCAAGGTTGTCATGAAAGGACTACCCAGTGGTGAATCCCTGGATCAGATCAAAGAGAACTGGCAAACTTACTTGAGTTGTGCCACTCCAAGTGATCAAAATCAAAATGAAATCCCGTCCTGGCGATTCGCGCAAAGGGGTTTCTAATGATTTTTATTTAGTACACTTCAAATCTAGTGAACTAAACAACATAAGGCCTTGGAAAAAGCTAGCCTTATGCTCCATGTCCGAGTGAAGTGGGAACACTTCAGGAAGACTGGAGGAAATTTCCAAAACCTCACTCGTAAGTGCCAGGGATGGGGTCACGGAACTAAAAATTGCTACATGCCAGCTAAATGCATGAATTGTGGTGATTCCTCTCACGCAAAGGACGACTGTCCTGTGAAGGAAGATCCTAAGAAATTTAAATGTTCAAATTGTGGTGGAAAGCACAAACCCAAATTTTGGGATGGTAAGACTCGCAAAGCGATTCTACAATCTCGTTCTAAGCGACAGGTAGGAAACGCTCCACGTTTCCGACCAGGTACAAATTACTCTGCTATTAACAACAAATTCTACATTCGTACCCCTGCTTCAAATTTTTCATCTATACCTACCCCCTCGCTGCTAACAATGTTCAGCGAGTTAATGGAGCTAAGTTAATGGAGCTACCTATGCTGCTATTGCAGCGGGTAGAAATCAAAATACTAACCAACGTAATTCTAACGGAAATGTTGACAATTTTGACTTAGGAAGCATTACTGCCCCTAAAATGGAATTTTTACAGAAATCATTAATTGACATGATTTCTGATATGCTTAAATCTAACTCCATGTTTGATGCTATTCAAACTTGAGTAAAATTTGCAAACAATATTGTCATGACTTTAAAATTCAGTAATGGATTTTAAAGCATTAAATATTTTAAATTGCAATGCTCGATCTCTTAAAGATAATGAAGACGAGCTATTTAACTTTTTGAGAGTTCATAACGTGCATATTGCCGTTATAACTAGAACGTTCCTTAAACCTGACCATGTAAGCTACGGCTTACCTGCCAGCCTATAGCTGGCCCGATTTTACCCCGGCGGGGCGGCCTCGAGTTTAATAAATATATAATAGTGTCTGATTAAACATTATTTCACATGAAAATCAAGCGTCTCTATACACCTTTATACCAACGCTGTTTAAGAAAGTAATGATGTCTAATAAACGCTGAATAATCATAAATTTGATCGAATAAAGCTCTCTTACAACTGTTGAAAGTCCAATAAAAGAGCTTCTCGACCTACCTTATTTCAACACCAAATATTTCGATGTTGTGGTTGAATAAATTCTCCAGATTTGTGTGAACAAAGCCTGAACAGAAGTTATTATTAAAAATAGTACAAGTATTATTAAGCATACAGTGGAATAAAATCGTCAAGAAGTCGTTTCTTAAATAGGCAATTGTTTGTTGGGTTATCTTTGCCCTCTCCTCCTCGCTGTTGGGGCTGTTTGCCCTCTCCTGCTCTTCGGTGGGGCCCTTCGACGACGGTATGGCGGCGGTTCTGCTGCTACAAAGCACGGACTGTGCTGAGCGGTTTGTTTCTTCGGCTGCTTCGCAGCTGTCCTTGACACTTAGCGGGGGATGAGCGGGACTCGTCTGTTGGAACCCCCCCCCCCCCCGCTAAGTGTCAAGGACAGCTGCTAAGCAGCGAAGAAGCAAACCGCTCAGCACAGTCCGTGCTTTGTAGCAGCAGAACCGCGCCGAAATACCGTCGTCGCAGGGCCCCACCGAACAGCAGCAGCAACAGCGAGGAGAAGATAAGTGGATAATAGACGTCTAAAATGGATTTTCTTTTTGTTGTTTTGTCCCACCCAAATCCGAACGTCTTTGGGGGAAGTACCCTTGCTCGAGGCCACCAAGTAAGCTGGCAAGTAAGCTCCAACTTACAACCATAAGGTTAAGAAGGACACAAATTATTTCATTTATAGAAAAGATCGTCTTGATGGACCCTGTGGTGGCGTTGCCATCATTGTTCATAGACGAATCAAACATAAAATTCTTTCTTCATATGAAACCAAAGTTTTTGAAACTTTGGGAGTTTCTGTTGAAACGAAATTTGGACAACTTCCGTTTATAGCTGCCTATTTGCCATTCCAATGCGTAGGTCAGCAAAAGAATTTTCTCAAGAGTGACCTTCAGAAACTTATCCGTCATAGGTCTAAATTCTTCATTATTGGTGATTTTAATGTAAAACACCGTTCATGGAATAATGCTCAAAGCAATTCCAATGGTAATATTCCGTTTGATGATTGTTCTGCAGGTTATTACACTATTCAATATCCAAACAGCCCAACATGCTTTTCTTCTGCAAGAAATCCCTCAACTATTGATTTGGTCTTAGCTGATTCATGTCGACTTTGTAGCCAATTGGTTACTCATGCTGATTTCGGTTCTGATCACCTTCCAGTAACTTTTGAAATATCCCAAGACATTATTTGTAATCCCAACAGCACTACTTTCAATTACCATAGAGCTGATTGGGAGCAATAACGAACATTTATGGAATATAACTTCGATCCAAACATTCCTTTGCAAACCAAAGATGAAATTAATTATGCTTTCATCACTACCTAAAGCCCCACGTCAACAATGCTGATGATGGTACAGCACGCAACAACCACCCTACTGCTTTCTCTCTGAGATGATCACGTTGGTCATGACGAGAGGAGCAACACAATAGTTGGGTAAAGAGGAACTGCATTATAACACACCATCGACTGGAAATGCTCTCGCAACGTGGGGCTTTAGGTAGTGATGAAAACGTCGCTAGAACTATTCCACAGCCGCAGTCAGTTTATGAGCAAAAAGAGGGACGCACATTTTTGCCTGTAGACTTGGAGACATACTTCAAGTCTCCGTGTACATTGTACGGGTTAGGCAAAAATGTGCGTCTATCTTTAAAAACTGTCGCATTAATGGCCCTTCGCTCATTTTCAACTTCTATTCAATTTTCATACTGCCGTACTCTAAAGGAAATATCCACCTACCCTTTTCTAAAAGATCATTCTCTAGCTAATAAATCATCACACTAAAGCTTCATGTTAGCATTTCCAACCAACTCTGAATTAGATATATATCAAAACAATTAAGACTGGTAAGTTACTGTAGTAACTGGAGCACCTAGGTTAAAATGAAATGTAATTTATTTTGAATATGGAACAAATAAAGAGTTAAAAAAAATCACATTCATTTCGTGCATTCATTTACATTCATTTGCCTCTAACTTTTTCCATCAATAGAATTCCGTTTAATGATGTATGAAACTTTTGCAGCATATTATCTACAATTTTTATCGATAACCCAAATCTATACCTCTTATGCATGACGAACTAGAGCGGGCAGAACTTGTTGCTATTTTTCAATGAATGTAATTTACATTCACTGAAAAACATAGAAGTTCTGTTCGCCCCGGTTCATCACGCATAAAATATATAGATTTGAGTTATTGATAAAAGTTGTAGCTAACAACAAAACTTTAACAGCTTCGTACATCATTTCATGCAATTCTGTTGATGAAAAAAGTTAGAGGCAAATGAAAGCAAATGAATGCACGAAATGTCTCCCATTCTTATTTTCGAATTAAATTTCCCGCAGTTTAAATAATCGATTAATAAATGTATAATAGTGTAATTAAACGTTACTTCACATGAGAATATAGCGCATACAGCATCGCAAGCAATGATGTCTTATAATCGCTGAATAATAAAAAATATCGGAAAAGCGCTGTTACAACATATAGAAGTCGAATAAAAGCTTCTCGATATACCTTATACAACAACAAGTAGTTCAATATTGTGGTTGAATTAATTCTCCAGGTTTTGTGTGAACACTCGTACACTCATGCTCTACCGTCGTCTCTCTCACACAACACAAACGAGCCAAAAGAAAATTATCGTTCTAATTCCTCAATTTGGTGTAAATTAAACCATTTCTGATCAGAAATGTTATTACTAGGACATCATTGCTTGCTATTTTCAGAATTCACACAAGCACAACATCAGCAGCTCTTATTATGAGAAAAACTAAAAAAACATTCGTAACGGTCTTCGGCGACAGTGTCGTATGACAGAGCCTGTTATATGACATTTTAGTTAGGTACTGAACTATGATAGCTTGTTTTGCAAGTGTCGAAGGCAAAGGCAGTCAATTATCACAGAAAATGTGTCGACTACCGTGTACAAGTAAGAAAAAAATGGGCTCATCAATCAAGTTGAACAAATTTATGAAAAATTGCATGAACAGGTTTGCTGTGTCTTTGCATTCAAAGCATCTCTCCATTAGAGGTTCGGAAGTTGTTTAGCAAAAAGAATGCACAAGTTGTGGAAAAATTACTATGCCGCCAAATAACACATACGTCGACCAACAGTGAAAGTGAAAATCAAATAAAACGATCCGAATCGAAAGTGAAAACACGAATTTAGGAAATTAATTTTATTTTACATTGAACCGTCGTTTCATACAGCTGTTTTCAAATTATATTTCTGATATAAGTGTATATTGTTCCATGAGATATTAAGTGCCGTGCACAAATCACGAATTGCATTGAGGGGTGGAGAGTGGAAGATGTAGAAAAATTCGTTACCAAGGGAGTTGTATTTTATCCCATTTAGTATTATACATAAGTTAAATGTGATTCCTTGTAGATTCCACAAATGGCCACCACATACATGAACTTTCAATTACACAAATCTTGGAAATTAATGCCACATTTCATCAGAAATTGCTACTTCATGTATGCTGCAGTATAGCAAACGTGCAGTAACAGTTTAATTGTGGTGCGTATCGTAGAAGCTGATATTTGTAAGAGCACAAATATGTGCTTCTACTTCAGTTTCGAATTGGCTACGAGAATAAGGATTTCACAGCGAAATACCTTAATACAAGCTAGTAAAATAAGCGTAAAGAAATAAGTAATTGAAACAATGAACTCATTCACGGAACCTAGGGGAAACGCTCCTATAGTTGCGGTACGTTAGAAGCGTTAGGTTCCTATAGTTATGCATGGAGACTCAATACACAACTATAAGAACCTAACGCTTCTAACGTACCGCAACTATAGGAGCGTTTACCCTACCTGACCAACTTCTCTTGATGAATAATAGGTGCACACGCAGAATCATTCAATAACCTTGAACAATGACGTCAAAACATGTTAAGGAATAATAGTAGGAGAAACAGCCCTATTGTTGCGGTACGTTAGCAGCGTTAGAAGCCTATTGTTGTGTATGGAGACCTCAACAATAGGCTTCTAACGCTGCTAACGTACCCCAACAATAGGGCTGTTTTCCCTATTAATCATTTCAGGCGTAACATTTAATAACGGCACACAAACTTTTGTAAACAAAAGTTGTAATGCCCTTTACACGCGAACCGAAGAACGCCCACGCAAACAAATACAATTATCGGAAAGGAGAAAATTTCTCCCACCCGAAGATGTTGTTGGTTTACGTGGGCGTTCTTCGGTTCGCGTATAAGGGGCCTTACAAATTTTGTTTACAAAAGATTTTGTGCCGTTATCAAATGTTACGCCTGATTTCATCTCCTTATTCATCAACGGTTAGTTGATCATCGCCGAATACTAACATACTTTTTGAGATGAACGTCCACAGCAATTTGTGTCAAGATCATGAATGCTTTGATGAACGCAAACCACATAACAAGAAGATAACGGTACCCCAGAAGGGTAAACATTCGGGTGAGTGTGCCACTTAGTAAATATTTTAAATTGGATACATTGAAGCGGTAATTACAGCGGGGAAAATAAAAGATAATTATTACAATACACATCTTGAAATTAGCTTCCTAAAACAATGTTCAACTAACTGTTCATGAAAACGATTGGCTTCCAGATGAGCCAAGAACAGTTTAAATTTTGTGTTTATGACCACAATCGGCTTAACCGGATGATTTTTTTTTAAACAATTTATCAAATAAATTTCGATTCCGCAGTGATTCATAACGCGAGAAAGTAAAATTTCTTGCTTATTAGCGCATTGGATCAGGAATTTAAATTGACTTTTGCGATGATTGTCTCTTCCGTTTTCACCTTTGCGCAGTCTTTTCCGGAGCTATATGATAATTTTGTGCTACATTCTACGATAGGCACATTTTTATGTCTCGTTGGCTTTACGCCAATTCATTTCGGGATCTTAATTAATGCATATGTAAACACGATCCGCTTGTGGGAAAGTCTTCATTTCTTTTTCTCTTTTTCAAAACCGATATGTCGTGAATGAAAAATAAAAAATGATCGCGGCCACAAAAGAAAACAGTACTATACAGGAGTAACGGTTTCGTTTCGCGAAGCTCCCGTTTTTGTGTGTTGCTGCTCTTGTATTGGATAGGCTTAAGTGTGATGCACCGAATGTATGTGCGCTAGTCGTCACAGCTTTCTTCAATACAATCGCGTAGCCGGAAAATCCCAAAGAAGCAACAAAGAAAGCTAAGCCGTTTGTCCTATTTCCGCGCTAACCATTCAAATTAATCACGGGCGATATTACGATACGATATTATGGAATAGTTTCCGAAACATAGATCACATAAATTAAACATTTGCAGTTCTATTATTGCATTTGATTGCATAAATCACTATGAAGACACCACATAATTATCTCCTTAACCTGCTAGATGTACCAGATTAACCCACTTGAATCACTTTTTTTATTTATCAATTCACAGTTATCTAACCTTTAGCATGTGTGTAAAATGTACAATGTTAAAATTTCTTCCACAATACTTTTTTGGTCAAATTAATCCCGTTTTCAACACTCTTCACAGTTGACCATGAGAAACAAGCAACCTTCTCCGATGGCTTTTCGTTCACGACTGGATAACTTGATCGAGCTAGGTGCAACATAAAATCTCCAGTCTAGAAGAATATTGAACGGAGAGGTATCAACCAACCAGACGGTGTATTCGATTGATCGCGCACAGAAGAAACGCTTGAATCCATTAACGTGGTGTTCAAGTCCCGCTGCTTTCTGATGTTCTTTTTTGTTTTCTTTTCAAGATTTGATCAATAATTACTGATCTGGTCTGTTTCATGGTCATGAAAAAAAAGGTATTTAAATTGAGATTATATTATGATCAGGTGCCTCTCTTAGCTCAGTCGGTGAAGGCGCAGCTATAAAGCAAATCCATGCTGGGGCGGCTGGATTCGATTTCTGATCCGGTCTAAGAATTTTTCGAGTTGGAAAATTTCTCGACTTCACTGGGCATATAGTCCTTGCAACACAATAATACTAATGCAAAAATGGTACAGGTTTAGAATGCTCTCAATTAAGTCGCAATTTACTTTGATTCATTGAGCATGAGCATGAGCATGATGGATGGCATGATACTCTGTTATTGCCAGATCAGCTGTACTCTCACAGAGAACCAATAGACGATGCTTAGGTCTAGCAATCATCCTCAATGTGAAACTAGTGATCTAGTACTAGTTGCAATTTACTTTGATTCATTTTCGAAAAATTCAAACGTTTATCCGACCCACCTTTTTAGATTGCAAAAAGTTCGCGTCGTTTTGTGTAAAGTAACAAAATGAATGATATGACAAGACCGTTGTATAATTTGATATAATACGTCGGAAAAAAAACTGGGTTTGAATTTTTGGACATCAAGCCAAAGTAAATTGCACCTTAACAACTGTGGAAGTGCTCAAAGAACACTAAGTTGAGAGCTGCCGTAAAGTACTAGTGGCGATGCAATAAAGCCAAATAAGCAGATGATGCTACCAAAAAAAAAAAAACGAAACATTACCATACGGTTACATTGGTTACATCATATAATGACTCTCGGACAATCCGACTTCGATTGGCGTGAAAACATATTTTTCTGTGCAAACCTTTTTTGCCGATTTATTTTTTTCATTATTAATTATAAATATCAACATCAATTTTTTTTTTGTCTGAAGGAAACTTATGGTATCTGTCACTCTTTATTTTTATGAGACTGGATTTTTCTGAGACTGGATTTTTCTGAGGATCCAGCGCTACTCAATTTTTAACATTGAATTCCAACGTCTGAAAGAATTCATATCAAGGGCAGGACTAGAATTCACCCCGGGTCAAGCCAGTCAATCCAAACTCCTTGCACTCTAATGGTGTTAAGCTCCAACCGGTATTATCCTCGGATTAAATCCTGATCACGAATGTGCGGCTGCTTTGATGCCGACATCCAGAGTGAATCAACGCGACTTTAAGCAAATATTTTGCAGATCATCCAAACAGGGACGGTATTAAAAGTTAATCCGAGTTGGAGCTTACCGCCATAATAGGAATTCTCTCAGGAATCCGGTTTAAGGTGTTTCCTTGTGGAGTCCATTTTTCCATCACACCTCACAATTTCATGAGCACACAACTCAAGATCTACGAGGTTTATGCATCTGTAAATTTCAGACATTGCTTGCTTCTCCGCAGCAAACAACAAGTAGTAGTTTCAGCTACGTGCATTCACAGAAAGCTTAATATTTTCACATGTGAAATTGCTAAGTGTAACACGAAAAAGGACGCTACAGGGAATCACCTTAAATACTCTTCCCTCCCTCTTCTCTCTCTCTCTGGTATATTACCAACCGTCCCATTTTCCGACCGACTCTGATCGCGTTAATCGGCTAAAATATAAGCGACAACGCTTGTAAAGAATATATAAAAAAGAGTTATGTCCTAGACACGACCACTCACTCTTTGCTCGACTGTTGAGCTGTTCAGTTCGTTTTCTTTTTCGCTCGAGTTCTCGCTTCGATTCGGTTTGTGCTGTCGCGTTGCGCCGTGGAAGCGTCGCCACCTTCGCGCGTTCTGGCAAGTTTACTGCAACTTGCCAACACGAAACAAATGGTGCGTAAACGTACCAATGATTCAGCAGCGGGCCCTTCAAAGAAGGTGGTAATCCAGCACAGCGCGTCGCAGGATGACGCCGGAAAACGGGTACTGCAAGCCAACCAGTTTGCGGTGCTCCCCGAAGAAAATGGCGATGGTGACGTCGTTCCCATCGCTGCAAGAGAGCGGATTCCCCCGCTTTTCACGCCGGAGAAGGATGTTGCCAAGCTGCGTGCCGAACTGGCAAAACACAAGCTGCTGCCTCGCTTCAAGCTTTGCAGCATCGGCACCAAAATCATGTGCTCCAGCCTGGAGGAGTACAATCAAACAGGATGTTTCCTAAAGGAAAACAACGTTGACTTCTTCACGCACGATCTGCCATCGAGCAAGCCACTGAAGCTGGTATTGCGTGGATTACCGTCGTTCGAGGCGGCTGTGGTTAAATCCGAGCTGGAGCGGCTTGGGCTCAAACCTGAGGCGGTGTTCCCAATAAACCGGCGTTCCAACCACAACACCAGCTTCCGTGACCAGTTGTTCCTGGTGCACTTCACGAAGGGATCCACCAGTCTAGCGGCTCTGAGATCCAAAATCCGGGACCTGTTTCAGGTCATCATCAGTTGGGAACATTACAAATCCCAACATCGTGATGTTACGCAGTGTATGAACTGCCTCTCCTACGGCCATGGCACCAAAAACTGCCATATGAAGACTATCTGCGGCAAGTGTGCTGGAACTCACTCGACTGCGTCCTGTGAGCAAGATGATGACATCGAGCCAACGTGTGTCAACTGCGGTGGTAACCACCAAGCCTCCAATCGCGGATGTCCCAAGCGAGTGGAGTTCATCAATATCCGTCGGAAGGCTACGATCAATAATCAGCCTGGTCGCCTCCGTAATCATCGTTCGCCTCCTGCACGCACGGAAGTCCAGTACCCAGCTCTCCAGCCCCGTCGACATGTTCCGAACTTAGAACCACTTCCGCTCAACAACCAACAAGTCAAGCATGTGAGTATTCCTAACAATCGAACAGTCCAGCATCGTCTCGCTGCTGCTGCTGCCCAGCCAATGCCAGGTCCCTCCACCGCCCCTGGTTTATCATACGCTGGTGTTGTCTTAGGTGAGCCTGTCGACGATTCTCCGTTCACCTCGGAGGAACTTGTGACGCTCGTGGCCGAGGTCATCATCATCTTGCGCACCTGCAAGACTCGATCTGAACAGCTTCATGCTGCCCTGTCCCTTGTCACTAAGTATGGACCGTGAAGCCATCAAGATCGTAAATTGGAACGCTTGCTCCTTGAAGAGCAAAAACATCGAGTTTGTTGAGTTTCTCAATGAACGAAACCTCGACATTGCCATCATAACTGAAACCCACCTGAAGCCTGAAATAAACGTCTACCTTCCCTATTTTCGGCTCGTGAGGCTAGATCGAACCAACTCTGGAGGAGGAGGAGTGGCTATTGCAATAAGGAGAAACATCTGCTGTCGACTGATGCCCAGCTTTCAGCTGAAGATCATCGAAGCCGTAGGGGTGGAAGTTTCTACTCCTATCGGCCCCATCACCATCGTCGCGGCTTACTGCCCCAAACAAGTCAACATCAGGGACGGATCGGCAGCAGATCTGCGACGAGATATTATCAAGCTAACACGACGACGGGAAAACTTTATCATCGCTGGTGACCTGAACGCCAAACATCAAGCTTGGGGCAACAATCGGCGCAATCAAAACGGCACCATCCTGAACAACGACCTGCAGGAAGCGCAGTACAACATCTTGAGTCCGGAAACTCCCACCCGGTTGAGTCGGTCCGGTGGTCACGCTACCATCGATATCTTCATCAGCAACATGGGCAACAACATCGCTCAACCTATCACCTATCAGGAACTCAGCTCGGACCACTACCCGGTGGTGACTGAGGTAGGATCCTCCGTAAATCGATTTGAAGCTTTCCGGCGCAACTATCATCGTGTTGACTGGGGTCAGTTCCAACATTGCGTCGACACCGCTGTAGACTACGATGTCCAACCGGAATCGTCCGAAGATGTTGACCGGTGTCTGCGCTCCATCGATCAAGCAATTTCCCGGGCCAGGGAGCTACATGTGCCAGTATCCAGACAGGTGAGTAATACTCTGAACCTTGACAGGCCTACTAAAGACCTCATTAGACTCCGCAACACGATTCGTAGGCAGTACCAGCGTACTGGGCTGCCTAACCTGAAGACCAATTGCAACCGTTTGAACAAAATCATCCAAGCCAGGATGGTGGATCTCAGAAATATCGATTTTGCAAACAAGATTCGCTCTCTCCCAGATTGTGCTAAGCCATTCTGGAAAATGGCAAAGATTTTGAAAAATAAGCCGAGGCCCATTCCTCCCCTTTCCTCTCCTAACCAAAATTCGGACCCATCTTTACTAACAACCCCATTTGAAAAGGCCAATGCTCTTGGACAACACTTTGTAAATTCACATAACCTTGGCCACGCCATGGTGAGTCCCCACGAGCCTGCAGTATCACAGGCAATGGCTAGTGTCGCTGCCACCCCCGTAGTTGTCCCTGACGAAAGTAGAATATCGGCTGATGAGGTGATAGCAGCGATTAAATCAACAAAGAACATGAAGGCCGCTGGTGTCGATGGAGTGGTCAACCTCGAGCTGAAAAACTTGAGTGTTGACTTCTTCAAGCACCTTGCAGTGGTCTTCAACAAGTGTTTAATGCTTGGCTACTTCCCTGCATGCTGGAAGTTAGCCAAAGTTATTCCAATTCACAAACCTGGCAAAGACCCTACCAGTGCCAAAAGCTATCGCCCCATCAGCCTCTTGTCCTCCATCTCGAAGCTATTCGAAAAATTGATAGTCAGCCGTCTGCTGGTGTTTTCAAATGATAATAACATCTTTCTCAAACAGCAATTCGGGTTTAGGAAAGACCACTCTACCATCCACCAACTCGCACGGGTTACTAACATCATCAAGCGGAACAAGTCCGTTTCCAATACATCTGCCATGGCATTGTTGGACGTCGAGAAGGCGTTCGA